AGAGGAGATACACATTGCACAGCAGACAGAGAGTGGGATGTGAAAAGAATCCTGTGAGATGGGCAACAGACAGAGGCTTATTTAAAGAGGCTACAAAGCAGCAAGTAATGCCAATTTAAAACGATTACATGTCAGTGCAACAAGCAGAACACAGTGAAGGGAGCTCAGATTACACCGTCTGGGGTCCCAGACTTAATTACTCATGTTAGAGATTCCTAAAACAAAGGGAGGCTTTTAAACCAGTGATACGTAGTTGGCATGGTACTAAAAAGTCCTGGAAAATGTAGGAAAAGCCTAGAGGAAACTTCAAGGAGGATTCCATCAAGTCTAGGTACCTCCAGACTATCCCTAAGTGGGTACGTTCCTGTAGCACTGGAACTGGTAAAAATCAATGACAGCTTATTTTGTTGTTTGCAGTGTTTGTATACAGTTGAGGCTGATAAGCTTAAACAAAACACTGGAGCCTTGTCTGGACTGAGTTACAGTTAGTGCTAAACAACAAGGGCTCTTCTGTGTTTCTTAGAGGTTCTTAGTGGAGAGATTCTGAGAGTGATATTAAGAGGGTGTGTTAAAGGTATCTAATAAAAGCAATTTTAATTTTGTTCATTTTTTTATAGTTATTTGGATAGTTACATTCTCTCTGTCCCTACCACTTCACTTCTTTCCATTAGGGTGTAAGGACCATATAGGCAGTAATTATTTTATTCATGTTTGATTTTCATGCAAAGCCTAGTAGAGGACCATGCTCACAGTAGTTGTTTAAAAAATATTAGTAGGACTGTATTAAAGTTAAATGACATTTTTGCTCCTGACATTTTTGCTCCTTTATTTTTGTGGTGCTATGGCTTTTAAAAAAAGCAGTGAGGTCTGGTTTGTTTGTAGCATTTTACTATGTCTTTTAGTAGTGGCAGCTGGGAAGAATGTATGCCATTTGTTGATATCACATCCTATATTAAATTGTGTCATTTTCAAGTTCACTTGCTTAAAATGAAGTGAGTCCTGTAGTTTACCCTCCCACTTAGAGGAGAAGCTGAGACCCTTATTAGGGTCTTCCATGATTTAATCCCTGCCTGCCTCCCTGGCCTGTTTCCTATCACTCTCCCATTTGCTTAATCATCTCTGGCTATGTGAGCCTGGAATAGCAGTCTCATTCCCACCTTAAGGCTAAACTTTACACTTGCTTCCTCTACTTGGGGGTGCTCTTCCTTCTATATCTTTAGGATTCTTGTTCACTTCGGTCTCAGCTGGAAGGATTCCTCCTCGGGCAGGCCTTTTCCCATACACTATCTGAAGCACGCCCAGCTTTTAGCATGGGTTTTGTTTCTAACAGAATGTATGACTGTCTGAAGTGGTTTTATTTACTTACTTGTTTGCTATCCATTTTTCCCTAAAGGAAATCAGGTTCATGAAGATAGGAACTTTGTACTGTTAACCCAGTAACCCTGACACCAGGGCTTGCTCCTCCCCATAATGGATAATCTGTGAGTGTTTTCAGTGTCAGAAAGCTACTCCCAAAACACATTATAGTGAAAATGTGTGAAAGTTGACTATTGGCTCTTAGATTTTGTGATGTATTGCCAAGGGGATGGAGTGATGAGATTGAAATCCATTATTTCTCTTTGCTTCAGCTTTTTAGTGGGGATACACAAACAGATGCACACAGACACGCTATGCAAGATTGATTTCACTCAGTATTTATTGAGTGCTCACTGTGTGCAGCTTAAGAAGATGATTTAGGAAAACATCACTCTTTGTGAGTCACTAGTTTTTGGAATCCATTAAAGCTTCAATCTAAGATCCAGTTCTCTGATCTGATTTAGCATTTTACATTCATTCTGCAAATATGAAAGCTGCTTTCAATTTCTTTGTTATTTATTTATTTTTTTGTGGTGGGTGCTGGGATTTTGAATTTAAGGCCTCAGATTTGCTAGATTGTGCTAGATGGCTCCTACTTAAGCCATGCCCCGAGCCTGAGCCCTGATTGTTAAATTTAAAATGTGTTAGTTTGGGGAAAAAAAAAAAAGACAATTGAATTATGAGATGAGATCTTTCCCAATGTCACCTTCATTATTTTGGGTTCCCAAAGTTTTAAATTCTTTTTGTATGGCAAACAGAGTAGCAGGAGTCTTAAATTTTTCTTTTCTTTCTTTTTTAAAGTTTCTTTCTTTCGTTTGTTCAGGCAGTATATTACCATCTAGATCATCCAAGATCTGTAGTGCATTAAATGATTTTAGGGCATCCTAAAGTGGACACTCATGGCCTAGTGCCTTTGTTCTCAAAGTGTGATGTCAGCCACCTGGGAACTTGTTAGGGATGTAGACTGTCAGGCCCTCTCTGGCCCTTCTCAAGCAGAAACTCTGAGGGTTGTGTCCAGCACTGCCTTAACCTCTAGGTGATTCTGATGCGTACTCGAGTTTGAGAATTGTGGTTTAGCAAATGTTAAAGGTTCAAGGTAGCATGAGCCCACAAATCAACCAAATAGAATTAATTATTAGCCTGGTAAGCCCACCTCCTTTTCAGTCACTGGCATGGATTGATTCATTAAGGCTAGACTGTAAAGTTATTTGCTAGGTTGATTGCCACATGTTGACTTTGGGTTGTTTGTATTTCTCTGAACCTGTCACTGTAATGATTTGCCAGGACACTTAATAAGAACAAGCTGTGATTTTTTTTTTTCCTCCCTTTGTAGCTTTCTGAGTCATGGGTGACTAAGTCCTTTTGCTCTCCTGGGTAGATTTCTCCAGGTAGGGGGCATGCCATTTATGTACTTTTAATGAGGGAAGTATTACTGATGGATCACAGGGGAACTTCAGATTGGTTTCCACCCCTAGATTGCTTTCCAGGTAGGCAGTTGAGCCCCCCTGAGGTTGTGTCTTACCTGCAGCTGTCCAGCTAGGTGGGGTTAGAGACAGGACTTCAGGACTGCCTCCACTGCATCAAGAGTCCAGAGGGGGACAGAGCTGGAACTCGCTCCATGCTTGCAAGACATTCCTTTCCTACTGAGAGGTTTTCCTTTTTATTTAAAGAAAAAGAACAAATAGAAAATAGCCAGGAAGTTCTCATTGAAACTAATAAAAGTGTCTAAAGAGGATGAAAAAATCAGTTTGAGAACTTTGGTATGGAGGAAATAACCTGACATTAACTGTTTTAATTATAGTTGTTGCATTGGGCTTATCAGTGTGGGAAGAGGGAGCATTTGAGCATTACAGGGAAGTGGGATGTGGACAAGAAGATGACCCTCTTCCTGAATCTGCCTGTTACAAATATGGGCTGGGCTTAGTGAGAGACCAGGCCCCAGGCTCAGCACCACCACTAGCTGGGGATCTGATGTCTCATGAGGAGACCACTTACCTCCCTGGCCTTCACTGTCTACACTGTGAGGAAGGAGCCAGTGTATCTCTGTAGTGAATATCACAGTCTGGATCCAGACTCCCTAGTCAAATTCTGGCTTTCCAACTTACTGGTATGACAAAAGTCAGGTCACTTACCCTCTCTGTCCCTACATCTGTGTAACAGGTATAATAACAGTAACTACTGCTTGGAGTTGTGAAGATTGAATTAGTGTATAAAGTACTAGAGGACAGTGCTTGGTATTTAGTAAATGCTATGTGTTAGCTGCTGTTATTACTATTACTTTTTTTTAGAGCATTATTCTTTAAAGAATACTGTAAACATGGGGTCTCTGTAAACATGTTCTCAAATGATTCCACACTGGACAGATAAGGAGCCCTTATGCAGTATGTTGATGGAGAAGTTGCTCTGGCATCCAGCTTGTACCTGGGTCCTTTGTGGAAAGAAGCTGGTTTTGCTGTCAGTGATGGACAAGCCTAGAGCTTCTGATAGCACACAGTTTATGCATAGAATGGTATGGCTGGAGAAACTCAAAGGCGGGGGACCCCTCAGTTTTGCTTTCAGGTTTTCATACATGAACTATTCTAGGAGGTAGACCTCAATGGCCTCCAAGAAAGGGTTTATGGGCTTCAGTGTTGATTCTGACTTTTGTTGTTAGATTAGATTTCTGTCTGTCTTAGCTTTCCAACTGTGATTAGAATTCTTGATACGCATTTTGGAAATGAAAATCCCAACTCTAAAAGCTAAGCAGTAAAGACACTGTATGTATGGAAGAAGTGCATGTCACATTCAGGTAGTCTTCTGTCCTGGTGAAAATTTCCATTAGCACACTTTTTCTCTTTTTCTTTTTCTTAACAGTAAGAGAATTGGGTGTAAAGTATCGTTTTGTTGTCTCTCAAAGGACCAGTGAAATCAAGAATTTGAGAATTTTTGCTTCCCCTTTACAAAAAAATTATCTTTTTGTTTACTTTGATGCCCTCTCATCTGCAATCTCTATTCATGATCTACTCCTTGTTTTTTTGAGATCCCCTTAAAATTAGAGTTTATGTTTCTTTCATTCAGTTATCTAAGTATTCAATTTCTCCTTTTTTTCTGGATCCTACTATAGTGCATACTAGGCTCTCAAGTTTAGTTTGTCCAATGAATGTTATTGATGTTTCTGTTTTCTTTTTGAAATGGCCTGTTTTAAAACTTGAGACAAAAGTAACTTACATGAGGCAAAGTAACTCCTTACTATGGTGACCTCGTATCTACCCAGGTCTTCCTGAACGTTCATTGAGGAATCCTTTTATTACTCATCTGAATTATCCAAATTCTAAGATGACTATCAAGGCATGGATGTTACATCTTTAATTGTCTTAGTTATCAATGGGAGAGAGATGTAACAGCCAGGATATTGAAGCACAGAACATATAAGAACATAAAGAACATTTAAGACCACAAAAAAGTTAATGTGAGAATAGACTTTTGGGATACCCTGTTGTGTGTCGACAACTCTAAAAGCCAAAAGACAAAAAGCTGATTAAAGCTCTAAAGGGAACCCAGGTCAGGTTTGATGTGGGAATGATTGTTGACTTGGGTCACACTTTGGTTTTTGAGGGTTATGATTAGTGCCTTATTTCTAATGTATGCTTCTTTCTTATTTTTAGCTTTGCAATGTCGAGATGATCAAGAGCCCTGTGTAAATAAAGGAACTTGTGTTACCTACCACAATGGCACAGGATACTGCAAGTAAGTTTTCTTTTTCCAAAATAGGACACTGGACAAAATTTGATTCTCCTCTGTTTTTAATACTTCTATGAAATGTTACTGGTTCTCAAATTTCTCTGATGCAGTTATTGAGGGTGGTAAGGATGGCAGGATGTGGATGTCAGGTAAATGGTTAGTGAGACTATTTTACTGTCTTTATCATTATGAATGACTTGTCAACACTGGCCTACTGAGTCTGTTCTCTTACATTTTTCAGTTTAAGACATAGCTTTGTAATCTTCCTCCCTCAACATGTTAGCTATGGTCTTGTTTTTGAAGTTAAACCGATTAGATATTAACTTAAATTCTTCCCAGTATAAGTGAATATTAGAGTCATAATGAACTTCTTTTTCTCCTAGTGTAAAAAAATCCTGATCTGAAGGTGAGACTGTGAGGGAAGAAGATGCATACATGCATGTGGGATGGGGTGGGGGCCGGGTCTGTGTGTATCATCATATGGGAGATGGATGAGGGAGGGATTAGACTGGGAAACTTGGGATAGTTCTTATTTTATTTTATTTTGTATTGTTGTGCTTTTACAAATGTGCTTTTTGTAAATGTGGCATTTACAAAACTTCTTAAAATGTATCAAATATATCATAGTTAAATTCACCCACTCTATCATTCTCCTTTATCCCCTCTCCCCCCATTCCTGGACTGGGATAGTTCTTGACTCACAAATATTTTTTTCTTCTTCTCCAACCATCTAGTCTAGCCAGAGTTTTTGTTTATTTGGGGAATTCTGTGAGGCAATTTCTTTCTTTCTTTCTTTTTTTTTTTTTGTGTGTGTGTTGTGTGTGTGTGTGTGTGTATATATATATATATGTGTGTGTGTATATATATATATCATTTTTACATTTTTACATTTATTATTATCAGTTTTAGATTTACTCACATGTACATATGTTGTTTGGGCCACCTTCCCCTCCCACCCCTACAAGGCATTTTCTTAAATAACATCTTTAGAATTCTTATAGACCATATTTTTTTTCTTTTGAAAAAAAGAAAAGTTGTGATAATAACATACATTTATTCCATTTATTTCAGGGAAAATAAGATTTGATAACACCAGGATCTAAGTTTTTTGATGTCATGAACAAGATTTTTTTTCCAAGTCAGAAACAATTTTCTTCAACAAAGTGAAAACATTTTAAGCTGTGATGACAGTTAAGTTTAACAATAGTTTGTTTGGATTAGAATAAAGGTAACATTGGAAATGAAACATTTTATGTAACTGATTATGGGCTGCTTACTTGGTTTTTCTAACTGGACCAGAAAAACCATGGGTGCATTCTCCTCTAAGAGTGAAAATACTATTAGAAATAATAAGTAGGGAACTAAATACCTTAGAACTGGTCGCTGAAATTTCCTATAGTCTTTTGAGGCATCTGGTGCCCAGTTGCTTGCTTTATTCTATTATTTAGCTCTTTTGTGGTAGTTAACCCATTATATTGTGATCACTTGTGTGTGTGTGTGTGTGTGTGTGTGTGTGTGTGTGATTATATTTCTTTCTCAGTAGATTGTGAGGTCCTGGTCTTAGGCACTTTTGCATAGCTAATGCCTCTTACAATATCTAATAAATAGTTATTGTTCAATAATTTGTTCCTTGAACTAAAAGATGTTGAGTAGCATCATTCACATGCCTCTTATCTATTTGTCTTAAGTAATAAGATATTGATTCTCATCTTTGAGAATTTTGTTTGCTTCAGGTAGCATCCAGATGGTAGTACCATTGCAGAAAGGCAAGTTAGTTTGATCATAATTCAACTTGGTGACTTCTATAGGAAGAGTTTCACATTTGTTCTAAGTGTTGGCCTATATATTTATGTTCTGGTATGAGGAGAATAATCCAGCCCTTACCAGGAAAGGACACTAAGGATCCTTTGGTAGATCTTTTGGTAGAAAGCAGTTTTCTGAATTTCTAGTCTCAAACTGTAAGCAAGGTCAGGAGGGTGAGGTGATCCTCAGCCTCTGGAGAAACACTGCTGACTTTGTGGCTGATGAAATTGGAGCTGCCTAAATTCTGTCCCCATGCTTGTTAATTGTCGAGGGGATGGAATCCTATGGATATGGTTCTTGTGGGTCCCTCAGGTATTTTCCAGCCCTGCTGTGAGAGAAAAGCTTCTTAAGAAAGGGAGAGTAAGAAAAAATGAAAAAGCCATCTTTTTAGGAGATCAAAATGAATAAAAGAACTTGTAAAAAGAGAGTGTTCACCTCAGCGAAGGCAATGTTAGCTTTTTCAGGAGTGGCAGGGTCAACAGAACTGGACACAGAAAAGAGGCCAGGTGCACCACTTTTAAGTGCTGCACAATCCTAGGCAAAGTTGTAAGCAAAATAACATGTACTTAGCATTCTTTTTAGTATCACTTCACCAATCTTGCTTTTCTTTCACCTGGGGAAGAAGATACTCCAGCTTGTTCAGTAAATATTTTCACAAAATAGTAAATCAGTGTTAACATTTAGAAGGTTTATAAAAATCACAGGGCATGTGATTTTCTTTTTCTTTTATTCATGAGATTGCTTAGTGGATTAAGAAAAGAAAGTTGAAGCCAAATTCCTTTTTTGGAGGTGGGTTTGGAGGTGAGTGGGTGGGGAATGTTTTAAAGTAGAAGGTATCTGACTACCTGTTAAAGTTGCATTACTCTACTGATTCAGCTCAAATATAATGATTGTTTGTAGAAAGTATAGAAACCCTCGCTAAGCTCACATTGACAGATGAGGATAAGTGCTTGTAAAGGTAGGTTTTGTACACAGCTCTGCTGTTTTTTCTCAGTGTTAGGAGCCCAAGTCAGTCTGTGACAAGATTGTAATGCCAGACAAGGAGATGGGGGCTGTGTGATCCTAAAAAAAACTCAGTGATTGATGCAAAATAGTTGCTGTCAGGTCTCAATACAGCCTCTCACTGCAGAAAGATAAGGCATTTTATTCTCCCCTTGTCCTTCTGGGAGGTATAAGTAAACGATTAAGTTTGGATGTAATTAATCACTTTCAAGTTGTTTGCTCCAGGCTTTTAAATGTAAGCCATTCCAAATCCCATTTTTATTAAATATCATGGGTAGCTCAAGTCACTGGGAGCTGGGGGCAAGTGAGTTTGTAAGTTACACTGTTTACAAAATACGTATTTTAAGGGCATATTTATCAGAGTTATTAATGTCCTCATCTGTCAGTTCTTCATGAGTGTGTGTGAGTGTGTATGTGTATGAGTGTGTGTGTGAGTATGAGTGTGTGTGTGTATGTGTGTGTGTGTGTGTGTGTGTGTGTGTGTGTGCTTACTAAGGATTAAACTTAGGATTCTTGCACTTCCTAGACAGATCTTTTTATCACTTGGGCCATACCCCCAGCCCTTTTTTTTGTTCGTTTGTCTGGTACTGGGGATTGAGTTTAGGGCCTTCACCTCAAGCCACTCCACCAGCCCTTTTTGTGATGATGGTTTTTTTCAAGATAGGTCTGGAGAACTATTTGTTTGGGCTGGCTTTGAATCTCAGTCCTCCTGATCTATGCCTCCTGAGTAGCTAAGATTATAGGCGTGAGCCACTGGTGTCCAGATCATTATTTTTCTAAAGGGTCTCACTTTACACTTGGGCCTGCCTGGACTGTGATCCTCCTATTTATGTTTCTTGTGAGCCACCATGCCCAGCTTTTGTTGGTTGAAGTGGGGTCTTGCAAACGTTTTGCCTATACTGGCCTGGAACCCCATCATCCCTGTCTGTACCTCCCAAGCAGCTGGGATTATAGGCATGAGCTACATGCTCGGCCCTTAACATCTGTGTCACTGTGCCCGTAACATTTGCCATTACTTAACCTCTGTGTCATTTGTATGCCTCGATCAACTGCTCCTTCTCTTTACTCTGGGTACAATTTCCCTTTGCTTCACATGTACAGTAGTTTTTAATTACTGACTGGACCTTGTAGATGATGCATTTTAAAGATTTTCTTTCACTAAGAATGTTGAATTCTGTTCTTGTAGGTGGTTCCATTCCTGACAGATCACTTTGGATCACTTTGGAGGCTTAGTTTTAGTTTTTGTTAGGGGTGGTTTACTTCTCTTTGCCCTTAGTTGAACAATATAAAGTTTAAACCTTGAATATGGTCTTTATTTTCATAGTGTGACCCTTTAGAGGTTCAGTGGACAGTTGAAGAGTTTAGTGAGCCCCAAGGAATTTATCAAGCCCCTCCAATTTGGCAAAACTTGAATTCTAGCCAGGAGCTTCTGCTCAGTCTTTTCAGCCTTCTGGCTGTCTCTGGGGTTCCTGAATCTCATCTTGCTCCAGCATAGCCAGGATTTGAAGGATTTGGTCAGAGTCTGGTGCATACTTTGAGCTCTTCCTTCGGTGGTTCTGTCCTTTTCAGGATTTCTTCTCTCACATTCCAGCTGCCTTGATAGCTTTGGATACCTCTGGCTCCCCACCCATAAAATATCAATGCCACTTATACTCTCTTTCTCTAGCGCTGCAGGGACTGGGGGGATCTCACTGTCAATGGTTTGCTTCCTTTTTCCTCTTCAGATTCACATTCCTTCCTGTTTCTTCTTGCTTTTGGTTGCTCTCTGGTGCCTTTAATTATTTTGTTCAGCGTTTATAATTGTTGAGAGCAAGAAAATTGGTCTGATGTGACTTCGCCATTACTTATAAGGATGAATTTTGTAATTATGCCCAGGTCTTGAGAATTTCCTCTTATCACGTACAAGGTATCTAGCACAGCTAGATAGCTGTGAAGTAAGAGAAAGTCACATAGTTACAGAGGTTCCTGTGGATGAGTGCTTGTCCTCAAGAATCTCTACTTCATGTCTACCTGAAAATGACATTTTCAACTGCATAGTTATAAATAAAAGATGTTATAAGGTACAAATTGTGTCACATTTTATCTAAGTTGAGTCTGTAAGCTGTAATATACATTTAAGAATTTTCCTTGCCAGGTTTAGAGTAAGGTTGGTGGCCTTGGCCTCCTAAACTTATCCAAGAAAACTAGAGCTATTGTCACCA